CACACCCGGGGTGACCTGTCCCTGCTGGCCAGAGTTCCCAGAGGGTTTCACAGTGAAATTAAAGATCTGCAAGCCTACTTCTGCTCCTTCAAGAGTCTGTATGACACCAGGATGTCCTTTAAAAGTCCATATCCTACCCTGCCTTTTTTCCCAGCACAGATAAGGCAGAAAGACTCCAAATGAAGTCCTTCCGACAGAGAGCAGTTGGGGGACATGGCCTGTCCACTCTGTTTGCGGGTGGCACATTCAAGCATGTCAGACACGTTACCCAGCACCACATTCATTGATGATTATATTAAAAGCCACATTCCTGGGAAGGATCTGCTCAGCCGCCACAAGCTTATTCATTATTTATAAACAATTAAAGGGCATGGTTCAAATGAATGCAAGCATCCGGGAAAGTCATTACTCAAGTACAGATCAACTCAAGCATTTGTCATCTCCCTAGTGACTTAACATACTCTCTGTGCCTTGGGACCTCAAATTATTAAGCAGAGTGGATACTTATACTCTTATTTAGTTTAATTGTTGGCCTCATTCCACTTGTTCGGATTATTTGAACTTGTTTAAAATTAGTCCCTCACTTCTGTTTAATATATTAAAATAGATAAGGGGGGAAATTTCTTTTTAGAACCTATTGCATTCTAAGGATGAATGCAAATTATCCTACTATGATTCTTAATGACCCACTATTAACATAGTAGGAAACCCAGTGCATTAATGCAATACCTCTTTTCACATCATTACTCCTAATGGAACTGTTACCAGGATAATAGCTTGACCTTTAGCTATAGATTCAGATAGCAAAAATATATTCTGCATACTCCTTACCTCTATTCACATGGCATATTGACTATTTTCACATCAATGCAACAACTATCTTTTGGCCTGTTCTAGGCCTCATCTGCCATTGTAGTGAAAAGAATAGGATTTTCTCTTCGGTAGGTAAATTCTAGTTAAAAGTCTCTTTTAAGTTTGGATTAATCCATGAGCTAGACTATCAATAACGTGCCTGATGGAAATATTTATTTGCATAGTTATTTTTTGAGAAGCCTGGCACTCTGCCTTCAAAGGTCTCAGTCACAAACCCAGGAGACAGCAATTTTCCTGGCTTCTTTCTTTTGAAACAGATTGGTTTTAACTGAAAGGAGAAAAAAAAAATAAGCAGAAAGTGTTGCCTTAAAAGTGAGTGACAGAGTACTTGAGCTCAAGGTTATTTTGGAAAGGTCTGACCTGAAGCCCCTCCTGGAGTTGGACAAAACATTCCACAGCCTTCCCTTTGGCAATCCTGAACTTGGTTATTGACATGCCCAGGAGTCGTTTTGATATTGGCACAGCCTAAATCTACTTTGTTATTTTGGAACCACTAGTTTCTAATATGTGAAAATTTGGACACATGCATTTCACTATCTAAGAGAGGTTGCTATGGAAATTAATTGTATAAATAATACTACAAGTGGGAAGATGTTTCCCTGCAAAGACAGTATATTTAATAATTTTTGTAGTATACATTTTCATATAAGCAAATGGGGTACTAAGTAACAAATAGATTTTTCCATTTATTAAAACAGAACTTCAATGACATCATTTGACGATTCTCTAATTAGTAAACATTGGGGCATGTGAGTGTAATAAAAAAAAAACCTTCTTTCTTTCAAAATATTCTATTAATTAAAACTTCCTAGTAATTTTCCCCCACTTAGTCTAAATTTGTGAGCTACTGTTTTTGCTTTTATTAGAAACAAAACTGAGAAATATGTTTGCTATTCATCACATGCATCTTGAGTTTCTTCAGTGCAAGGCACTAGGTTCTTTGAAGGAGAAAAAGAAATGAAGACCCTGATGTCATTTACAACCTGGTGTAAATTTAAAAGTACACACCTACCACCCAGGGTATCGTTTTCCTCTGTTCTCTCCCAGGTGGAGGCTACTTGCTCTCCCAAGTCCCACATAACTGACACTGGGCAGCCTGGTTGATGTCTTCCTGCTCCTTAGTTCTGCATCCTAACCATAACTCCCCCTCTACTCAAGTGAGCTGGGGTAGAATCTTCCTCTAAGGCTCCAGTCATAGCTGCATGTCTTTCTCTTGCTCCCAGGACCTGCTGTCACCTCCGTAATTCCATCATCCACACGAAGATCCATCTGACCCCGTGGCCACATGGTGTCTGGCCCTCGTCTCTGGTGCTTTTGGCCTCTTCTGCCTTTCAGCCCGCACTATTGAGCACACCTTAGCATCCTCTTCCACAGCTGCTTGCCTCTGCTGTTTTATTTGATTTTTTTAATTTGGATTCTTTGGTATTGGGAATTGAACCCTATTCTGCCAAAACTACCTGGCAAACTCCTGCCCCAGGCCAGTCCTATCATCCATTGTCCTAGATGGGAGCTGCAAAGTGCTGAGGGAGACAGTGCCCACCTGGGTAGACTTGTCACCCCATCTGTGGCTTGGCAGCCTTTCTGCTTGTCCTTACTCTACCACTTTTCCAGTTCTCCTCAGAGACAGCTCCAAACATTCCCACACTCACCGGATGTGGCGGCACACGCCTGTAATCCTCGTGGCTGGGGAGGCTGAGGCAGGAAGATCACGAATTCAAAGCCATCCCCACCAATGGCAAGACACCAAGCAACTCAGTGAGACCCTGTCTCTATGTAAAATACAAAATAGGGTTGGGGGTGTGACTCAGTGGTTGACTGCTCCTGAGTTCAATCCCCAGTATCGGGGGAGAAAAACAATCCCCATACTCTGCACCCTGATAGAGCTTCACTCTGAGTTCACTGAGTTAAAGGATCCATCACTCCAGCCTGGAAACACTTCTAAATTGGCCGCTGTCTTCCACTTTTTCTAACTTTAGATAACAGCTCCCTCCTATCTTCTCCTTCTAAGCACTGGTGTTATCCATAGCTCTGTGCTTGGCGTGGTGGGCTTCTTACTCTGTATGTTCTCGCTGGTTATTGGTTTTCTCTCATGAACTAACACATACATAGTCAGACCTATGTGTCAGTGGGTTCGGCATCCACAGATTCACCAACCAGTGATTAAAAATGTTCAGGAAAAAACCTAGCACCACAAAAAAACAACAAAAGCAAACCAAATCCCAAATTCCACACAACTTGGGGGCTGGAAGTATAATTCAGTGGTACAGTGTGTGCTTAACATGCACAAGGCCCCAGATTTAATACTGAGGACAAAAGAAAAAGAAAAAAGAAACAAACCACATTTGTACAAAACATGCACAGACATTTTTCTTGTTATTCCCTGAACAATACAGTATGAGTTACATAGTGTTTACCTTGTATTAGGTATTATGAGCAATCCACAGGCTATTCAAAGTGCGCAGGAGGATGTACATAGGTTATTTACAAACATTACGCCATTTTTTATAAGGTACTTGAGCAACTGAGGATTTGGGCATCCTCAAGGGTCCTGGAACCAATGCCTGTGGGTACCCAGACACAACTGCCTGTTTGTACCTTTCAGACCAATGTGTTCAGGCCAACCCTTTTCCTGCAGTGTAGGCTTCTCTGTCCACATCTGCTGGCCATCTCCACATGGGTGGTACAAAAACACCCCCACCCTCACAAGCCTTCCCTTTCTTCTGTATTTACTATATCATTTGATATATGAAAAAACTCCAGTTCTCTGCCCTAGATACCTGACTTGCTCTGGCAACTGTAGTCACTTCTGCAACAAAAATAGTCTCCTGAGGGGATCCCCGCCTTCCACACTGGCCTCCCACAAAAAAAAAAAAAAGAAAGAAAAAGAAATCCATCCTTCCTGTGGCCACCCTCATACAATTGGATTGCTTACATTTGAGATTGCATTCATAGCTCTTTCTCTTCCTTAAGTTATCTCCTAAGAAGTATGTTCTTTGATTTAACATTTTTTCCTAATATTTTATACATGTCTGAGTATGCTGCAGATAACTTTGTCCATTTTTCTATGGAGACTTTTTATTTGAATGTGCTCTTTATATGGTGGTAGATAATGAATATTTTCAGCCATATTTAGTGCAACTGCCTTTTGTCATTCTACTGAAATATTTATTTTTCATTCAATGGAAATTTCAATTTTTATGTAGTTGAATCTGTCAATATTTTTCTCTGTTATTTCTTTTTAAAAGAAACCTTTTAAAACATTAAACTTACCAATATTTTAAATACCAAGAAGGCAGCATGATATGACTATAGACTAGATGTTGACCTTATGGAGAGCAAGTTGAAAAGGCAAGTTGAAAAGTGCTCAGGAACTGGAGTGGGAGGCAGAAATGTCACCCATACATGCAGTCACATACTGTGCGCAGCATTCCTGAGGGCATTGTCCTGCCTTCCTTTTGTCCTACCAGATGATTCTCCCTAGTTTCTTTGGGCTTAATAGGGAAGGTCTTTACCCAGAACTAAGGTTAACTCAAAGTACAATTGGAATTTCTATCTAGATTATGTCTTAAAATTTCATTAAGACATACCGCATTATTATTTATTTTGAGTATTGATTGGGTTAGTGAGAATCACTGTGAGAACATCATCTTTTTGTGTAATTTTTCATTTTATTTTGAATCGACAGCAAAAAGTAAGGTCTTTCAGTGTGTTTGTGGGGCCAGTGGATCAGTAGGAAGTATTTCCTTTTCGTCCTATGAGATACACACACACACACAGATGGAGAAGTAGAAAGAGCAGTTTCCATGTGATTTTCTCAGTGTTTTCAGCCAGTTTCATTTTAAAGCACAATCCACCATTGGTAGCCAGAGGCAGCTGATAATCATCTTTATCATTCAGATTTGGAAAGCACACACTACACAACTGACATCCTTTAGAAGTAGACTTTTGGTGGGGGGCTCAGTGGTAGAGCACATCCTTAGCATAGGTGAGTCCCTGGGTTTAGTTCCCAGCATCTCCAAACAAGAAAGAACTAGACTTTTGTTTTCTTCTTGGGCTATATTCCTATTTCAGATCTGCATATTTTATTTGTTAAAGTATATAACAGTATATTTCATATTCTCTTTCAGTCTTCACAGAAAAGTACTGTACTGCTAACCATGTGGATAAACTTCCTGGCCCAAGAGACTGGGTACAGATTCTACAGGATCAAATTAAACTGGCCAGAAGAAGGTTAAAAAGAGGCTCAGGTATGAATAGGTTGTAAAAAGGTAATTGTGGAAGTACTTTATTGTATTGTATTTATTCTTAGCCTTTATAAAGCACAAAATTTTTCTCTAGGTTAGTTTAGTAGGAAACTTTGTTTTTTGAAGGAAAAGCTCTACATAATGTGCTTTGGTTAGCTACCTTAAAGTCTTATTCCAGATTTGGAAACTCACCTTAAGATTATGTAGTAAAGATTATGACAGGCCATTTGTTTTGAATAGTACAAAGGAAAAAGATTGCTAATCTCATTTATGGTCCAATGTGTCTCATATAAAACTAGGTCTCTCTTTTGTGGTTTTCTTCTATTTGCCTATTTATTCTTGTTTGTTTGGGTCTGCTTGATTTATTATTTATAAAGTTGTTTAAGATTTTTTTTTATTAGCAAAAATCCTTCAATAAGAACCATCACATCAAGGAAGAAGGAATGTATGTGTGTTTAAAATCTGGGCTTGGGCTTGGAAATTTGGGGTTTATCCTTCCAGGAAAAGTGAACATCAGTTGCATTGTGACAATTTAGATTTGGTCATTTGAAATCTCAGGCTCCCCAAAGTGACAGTGGGCCATTATACCAATGAGAAATCCCTTGAGGTCAGTTTTTTCCTATCATACAGAAATAGTTGTCTTGGGCTGGGGACATAGCTCAATTGGTAGAGTGCTTCCCTCGCATGTACAAGGCCCTGGTTTCAATCCCCAGCACCAAAAAAAAAAAGTTGTCTCTAGGAGGCCACAGATTTCAATTTAAAAAAAAAAAATCTTCATACATTCGTACATCTATTTTGAAAAACAGTGTGGAGGGTCCTCAAAAAGATAGAAACAGTACTATCATATTATCCAGCAAACCCACTTCCAGGTATCAATGAAAGTATGTTGAGAGCTCTCTGCACTCCTGTATTCATTGATACATTTTCCCCCATAGTCATGGAATTGATGTAAGTGTCCACCAGTAGTAGATCAATGCATTTTTTAGAAATGTGGTATATATATACAATGGAATACTGCTTACTCAACCTTAAAGAGGAGTTTCATTTGCATCAGCATGGGCAGGCCTGGAGGGTATTGCACTAAGTAAACCAGGCACAGAAAACAGATACTCGTGATCCCACTGTGGAATCTAAGAAAGTAGTACTCACTGAAGTCAAGATTAGAATGGTGGTCACCAGGAGGCTGGGGGAGATTAAGGGATGCTAGTCTAAGTATACAAAATGACAGTTAGGAGGAGGAATAAGATCAGGGGATCTGTTATGCCGTATGGCAACTAACAGTGTTAATTGTTAATAACACACTTGAAAATTAAGGGAGTAGACTTTAAATGTTTTTACCACAAAGTATGCAAAGCGATCCTATTAATTAACTCATTAACCACTCCACAATGTATACATATTGTGAATGTGTTTCAGAAAAACAGGTACATCATAAATATTTACAAATTTTGTCAATTAAATAAGATGAAAAAAAAAATCCAGATCAAACACCATGGCATCTGACTTTTGGAACCCCTGTGGCTAGAGTATGAGTCAGTTTGGGAGGTGGACTTTGAATATGAAAATGATCTCTAGCAAACACATGAGATTCTTCTCTGTCTTAGTCCATTTGTGCTCCTGCAGCAAAATACTACAGGCTGAGTAATCGATTTATAATGAACAGAAATGTATTGGCACACAGTCCTGGAGGCTGGAACTCCAAAGAGTGAGGGACCACAGCTGGCAAGGGCCTTCTTCCTGCATCCTCTCATGGCCAAAGAGTGAAGAAAGGGTGAGAGAGAAGGGGAAAAAATGAGGACCAAACTCAAACTTTTATAAGGAGCTTACTTCTGCAGTAATGAACCCACTCTGAAAACAATAGCATTTATCCAGTGGTGAGGGCGGGGCCTAATCACACCCCACCCCCAGCACTATGGCATTGGGGATTAAGTCTCTAACGCATGAACTCTGGGGGACACACTCAAACCATAGCAGTCTCTCACAGATCCCTTTCTAGTGAACCCTTCCCAGTCAGCCGTGACCTTGTCACTCAGGCTCTACCAGAGCAGGGACCAGCAACTGAATCATGTTTGTGTCCCAGGTGACACATGGTATGTGAGACAGGCTGACTCTCAAGAAATATTAGTTGAATGAATCAATGAAAATGTCAGTAACTTCAGAAGACTTGTTGTTTGCCTGAGTTGAAATCACTGGAAGCCTGTAGAACATTTCAAGAGTCCCTTCTTGGGGTTCAAATGTTTATCCCATTCCCTCCAGAACTCATGGGGTGGCAGTGTCCCTGAGCCCCATCCTCAGGAACAAGATTCTTCAACTCCTGGTGACACTTTGTGGTCATCCCTGAGTCCCTCTCCTTCCTCCTTATTCTTCTTTCCCAGTTTCCTCTCTTATTCTTTCCTTCCCCAAATCTCCTGCTACATTAACTCTTAAAGGTCCCCTGCATCCTCCCTGAGTTCCTTCACAAAAATACCTTCTTATTACGTTAGTCCTGCTAGGTTTCATATCCCTGGAAGGGTTGAGTTGGGAGGGAAAAGGGAAAAAATTAATAAATAAAAGAACACTTTTAGGGCTGGGGATGTGGCTCAAGCGGTAATGCGCTCACCTGGCATGCGCAGGGCGCTGGGTTTGATCCTCAGCACCACATAAAAATAAAGATGTTGTGTCCACCAAAAACTAAAAAGTAAAAAAATATATATATTAAAAAAAAAGAACACTTTTAGAGTTGAAGACACATAAGTTGCCCAGAAGGTTTACCCACTGGGTAACACCAGCTTAGCACTGATGATGTCATGTTGGGTGTCTCATCTTAATTTTATGGTCCAAGTATTAAGTCTGAGTGTTGACCACACCAGTAACTACTAAGTTGGCCTGTGTGCCTGGATTCTACTTTGGATGTCTTGACTGAGTAAGAACTTCCATTTCCTATTGATTTGCAAGGTGGAAATTGTTGACCACCCCAAATACAAAATACATATGTTGTATTATATACAATATAATATTCTAGTTTAAGAGAAATCTAAATGTGTCCTAATATAGAGACCTAAGTTCAAGATCAGTAAGCCCAGAGAAAAGGCAAGGGGCCAGTGTACCAACCAAGAACCAGCCACCCAGCCACCTTTGCTTCTCCCAGACCCTAGTCCCAACTGTGCCACCAACTTTGAGCTAGCCTGAGCAGACAGAAGATCCCTGTATGAGTGGCTGTCCCCTTTCTGCTTCACAAGGGCTGCTCAGGGCAGATGCAGCAATCAGAGATACTTGAAGCTCTCTGGGAGCTTGAGGGGAAGGAGCTGTATATAACAGGACTGTTGAGATTACTAATTGACGTGCTACAGAGACCACCCAAGAAAGGAAGGAGAGGCTTTGTGTTCCAAAACATGCGCGCCTCTCACGGAAGAGAGTGAACTAAAGGCCCTAAAGGGCTTGAAATTTTTAGAAGAAACCTTTAAAAGTAGAAGTAACAAAAAGTAGGGAGATATTGTGGAAGGCTATTCCCAGGGACTGAGAAGGGCTTTGCTGTACCACAGGATGACAGTAGGAAATTAGGTTTCAATGTCATTCTGGTGCCTTTGCCAAGTTGTATGTGTCCAACAGTGTCCAACATAATCAGACCTTTTTTCTTTTCCCCCCTTCTCGTCAGATGCTGAGACCAGTGATAAGTTCTGGTCTCTTCCCACCAGCAAACATGACTGCACGCAGTAGGGCTGCACAGTAGGGCTCCACATCGCCCTTCCTACCTCCCACAGACTGGTCAGTGAACACATTTCTTGATTATCACAGCATTTCTATTAATAATTCACATTTCCAGTGCTCGCTTTCCCCCCAGCACACACACCCACAGAGTGGGACCCAAACTGTAGCCTGCTCCCCAGCCCTTCCCTTCCTTCTCTCGGAAGCTTAGAAGATCACCCACTCTTGTTCTGTAGGCATCAGGATATTTGACTTAGGACACTTTAGTTTTTGAGTGCCGGGTTTAGATAATCTACCTAGATATCAATGACATGTTTAGAAACCTGTTCTATTAGTGACTGAGAAGTGGAAGGTGGCCGTAAGACAAAACCACCCCTGACATACAGACCAAACCAGACCTAAATAATAGCACATCAGCCCTGGTCTGCCAAACAGAGTCTGTCTCCCAATCTGTGAAGTGCTGCTACATATCCTTCTCAAGCAGCACAAAAGTGGGACCCCAGCAATCAAAACTAGAGCCACTTGGATTTCCTGCAGGGGACAAGGGACCTGGATCAATAATGTTACTTGCTCTCGTGTGCGCTGTCTTGATTATTTTCCATCTAAACGATAATACAAACAGTGGTCTCATAGATATTCCCCAATTTCAACCTTATTTATCATATTTGGCTCAATTCCTGGAATTAGGTGCAGACTCTGACTGGGCAAGCTAATCAACTATCCGCTTAGGGAAGTCTGCCCTGCCCCACATGGATTTGAAAGGTTGTTATGCAAATCCAAACAGAAATTCATTTGGGGCTCTCATCACATGTAATCATTTTTTTCTATAACTGGAATGATTCCTTTCCTGGTGTGGATTTTTATCATTTTCATTAGATTACTTCCTCAGAGCTGAAATCACAATTTATTATTTGTGTTAGATCCAAGAGTAAAGCTGTCATTGCTATTAAATTTTTATTGGACTTGCTCGATCTTTTCCAAATTTTACAACTTGATTGTCACCAGGGAAGAAAGAGTGTGAACTTGTTGATACAGACAGATGTTATAATTAAGTTTAGGTAACACAGTGATGTCCTTCATCCATGACACTTGGTGTCCCTGTTCATGCAGCTAGCTTATACTAATTTATATATAATAATTTACATAAACCTAGGTTGTTTATGTTCTGTTCTGACAAAAGAAAATAATTGCATAGGCCTGTTTATGGAAAGTAAGGATAGCTGAATTATAAAGGGAAGAGAATGTATACTCCAAAGTGATTTTTGTTGTAACTGAATGAAAAGCAATTATGAACCTAAACTGCAAGTTACTAAAGTACAAAATGAACTAAAATTTGAAGATTTTTTTAAAAATTAGCTCATAATGATGCATGTGTTTGTGTTTGGACTATTAATGGCAAAGAGATTAAGAGCACAGATTTAGTTCATTGTCACTTACTAGCTGTGTTACCCTGAGTAATTTCTTCACCTCCCTGTTTCCTCATGTGTTAAAATGAGCATAACAACAGAGCTACATCATAGGAGTTCATAGGAGACCTACATCATAGGAGCTCTTACATTGCATGTAAAGGCTCAGTAAATGGAAAGTATTTAACAAATGATGGTAGTTAGTCATCATTATTTATTGTTATTTTTAGATATATTTTTTAAAATTCTTGATAACAAGAGTTCTACCATGTAGGTAATCTACATATTCAAATTCACTCAAACCAATTAGAAGAAAATGACAGGGCTGGGGATATGGCTTAGTTGGTAGAGTGCTTGCCTTATGTGCACAAGGCCCTGGGTTCAATCTCCAGCACCACACACACACACACAATCTCGGAGTCCAGAATTAAAAAAAGAATAAAATGATGTCTTTTAAATATACAAATGGCATATATTCATTGTTTTAAATATATAAAATAATAAAAACACAAAGAACTAAACTTAAATACCTGAAGGCTTTTTAGTATGTCTTATTTTTTTTCTATGAACCTATTTACAGATTTTAATCATTTAGCCTCTTGATTAACTTGTCTATTTTTGTTATTAAATATTCATCTATAACATCATGTTAGTAATTTCTACTCAACTCCAGCCCCTACTGGTCTTGACTATTCTTTCTCTTCTTGGGGTTTTCTGTTTGCCATGAATCTAGCAGGCTAGCAGGTCTTTTGCTAATGCCAGATATACCCATCTGAGGACAAGATGTTAGAGGATGAACTAGAGGTGGAAAATGTGGAACATTTCTATCTGTATCTAAGCCCTGATTGTGTTTAAAGCAACAACAATAAAAAGAAGAACTCAGTATTAGTTTTGCTTCCTCAAACTCAGCATTAATCATGATGCAAATGGCAACCTTCCTTTGACTGGCCTCATGGTGCACCTGCACTATAAGCAGGGAACTTCCAGTGAGGATCATTAGTTGTGGGATATAAAGGGTACCACTTAGATGATCCAGGGGCCCTAATAAAATGTAGTCCTCTGCTCTGGGAGTCCCCTTCAGTTATCAGGAGACTTATGGGCCCCTTCTCTTTGCATTTAGTGGAAGGTTTTTCATGACTAAAAGAGATACCTTTGCAAAATTCCTAAGGAGATTGAAACGTATATCAGAGCTAAATCAAGTTTGCATTTTAAATCGTTTGCAGAAATGTGTATTTCTTCATGAATGAATGGATGCCAAAGTTGGACTGGCAGCTTGAAGACATAAATTTTCCAGCATCGCCAAAGAAAGTTTCACTTTTTGCATTTCCTAAGGCTGCCCAGCAGGAGTGGCTCTGGGGATGGCAAGTTTGGTTTTATAACAGGAATTCACTGAGCCTTTTGCCTTCATTGACATGTTTAAACAGTCTACCTCAGATGCTGGTTGGCTGTTGAAACCCATGTAAATAAGCAAAAATGGCTGATACAATAAGGTTCATAAGATTCTTAAAAATTTAAATATGGGAAAGTTGATTTTACGACATTATCATCATCAAAAAATTTTCATTTAAATAATGATGCTAAAATTTGTAGTGTGAACCAACTGAAGCTGAAAAAGGAAAGGATGAAAACTGTTATGTATACTAGAGTTATTTTAATTGTATTACTGTATTCAGTAAAATGAATGTGCTCCCTGAAACTAATGAGATTTGTGTTTTATGTTTGTAACCAGCAGAGGTAGCTGACGGTGATGAAAGACTGGACGGCATTTCTCTACCACCAACAGGTAAAACACATTTACATTTTCATCACCTGCTGGAAAATTCAGTGCAAGGAAATATTTGCATTGAAAATGGTATTAACATTAGAGATGTAGATGCTTGGGCAAGCTGCTTTCCGTAACAGACCCAGGCCCTGGCATTCAGAGTTTCTCAAAGCCCTGGGTTCAGAGATGTTTTTTATATTGAATATAAAAAGCATGAATAGCTACGTTTTTCTCACACTGTTTCATAGTCAGGAAAATCTCTGAAATGCAAATCTCAATAACAGTATTACAACATTTTGCCTCTCCAAATTTGTGGACATTAAAACATATTTTCTCATTGTTATACCAATGCCGAGACCCTCAAATAACTCTCAGACCACACATTGCCATTCCAATGTAGCCTTTTATTGCTGGCCAGCGGCAGACACTGTCTAAAAGCAAGATGGTCAGAGTGGCGCATCCCCTTCCGTTTGACTTCATATTTAAGCCAAAAAACCACAAAAGGCATGTTTGGGGGTTTAGCCAATGCAAGCAAGCAAGCCACAGAAGCAGGAGATTGCAGTCAGGCATCGGGATGCTTAGCCAATCAGAATAAGCCCAGTTAACCCAGTTACACAAACAGAGCCCAGTTATCCCAGTTACACAGACAGAGCCCAGTTAGGTAGTTCTGTGTTCTTAAGGGTTTCCACAACAAAAGAAAAAATAACTTGGCCAGTCATGACCTTTCTAGTTGACATGGCTGTTTCCCAAAATGGAGTTACTAAACAAAATGGAGTCACTGTAGTCAAGACTTCTGTCTCATCACAACATGAAATAAGATTTCACTTTAGAATAGGGAGCACCAATTTTGTATGACCAAATCCATGTCTACTCAGTCTTCTCCCACCTCTTCCAAAAAAGGCCTTTGAGAGGTAATCCATCATTGCTCTTTATTTAATGGGCACCCAGTTTCTACTGGATTTTAATTGCATGATTGAATAAGCCAGTCCATCCAGCATTGAGTGGCACACTCCTAATACTTGAACCTGAACATTGCACTGAAGCATTTGCTGCACACAGTTGCATTAAGCCATAGACATGATTCTGACTTCACATTATTTGACTCTCAAGTAAGCCTCTGATTCTGGCCACCTGCCTCTATGTCACTTCATACCTATAAGGAGGGACACCGACATCTGTCTGATCAGTGAGCTACATGTTAAGCAATTTATTCCTGCATTTAGTCTCAGGATTCTTTATTAACTGCTCTCAAAAGAGTACCTGAAGATTCTGTCCACAAAATCTAGATACCCTCCAAAAAACATAAGACTGAAAAAGATTGACTCAATTTTTCTGTCCTCTAGATTTAAGGTGTTCTGCTTTTAATTAAATTCAGCAAATACTAACAGAATGTCTAGTGTACGTAGGAACTCTTAGAGTTCCTAGAGGTCATTGATAGCACCACCTTTAGTGGATGGCCACTAAAGCAGAGTCCATAAGTGTAGGATGGGCATATGACAGTGAGCTTCAGAACAGCAGGGAAGCCCAACTGTATAAATGATACATTGCTTCCTCTGCATCGAGTAACTAAGCAACAGATCAATGGACAAATAAATGAAATGAACTACATAGTGTAAAAGGATCTGTGTGTATCAAGTTCTTCCCATATATAGTCATTATATAAAATGTATTTCTCATTTGGCTGTGTTTCCACATTTGTGAATTAAGAGAATTGAAATACATGATCTCTCTTGTTCCTTCCCAATCTGTCATTCCCTGAATCAGGACAACTCCTATCAGCCTTATTCCTATCAACCTGCCCAGCCCACTCCCAGTAGATGCAGGAAACACTAATCATAAAAATGAAATTGTATATTTCAGGAGGCCCTTGGGAGGAATACTATGCTTTTCTAATTGTGTCTCCCAGGGAGACTACTACCCCCCAGGTCTCCCATCTGGAGGCCTCTGTACCACTTGTCCTCTGCCGTATGACATAGTGGGTTTTTGTTTTATTCTTTAAAGACCATACCCCTTAAAATAACACCGTCACTTTTAACTGACAATGGAGGCAAAGATATTTCAGACAAGAAAATTGAGCACAAGGGATCCTAGACCAACCTCATAAAACAAAAACTTTCAAGGAATCTGAGAATGAGAAGGAACTTGAGAGATTACCCAGTCCAATCCTTTTCTTATCCAATCCTTTTATTTTACAGGGAAAAAAGCCTGAGGCCCAGAAACATTAAATGACTTCCCCAAGGTCTCAAGAGCTGGTTGATGGCCTGGCCAGAACCCAGGCCCTTCGTCTCCCAGCCATTACACCGTAGAGCTTTCTTATACCTAAGCCAAAGCCAGCTTTTCTCTGCATGTTTCTTAAAGATCCTAAAACATGATTGATGTACTAATCCATTTAGGATTCCATTTCAATGTCTCACAATCTTCACAGTTAGAATATTCATCATCGGTCTACCCAACGTTTGCTGCAGTTTAAGCTCATTTACTCAAGTCCTCTCAATTTTGCCCAAAGCTGTGAGGTTGTAATGCAGAAAATAGTAGAACACACCTGCAGGTCTTATCACTAGACTGTTAATAGAGATTGGTTACAAATTGCTAAACAGCATGATAAATAAAAATGTTCATTCTTTAGAAAAGGGGGAAAGAAGTCACAGATTGGTGCTCAAATTTTGAAGTAATAAAATCAAAGAATCTCGATAGTCTAGCATGTCCCTTGGTTGCCTTTCTAGAGTAAAATTCTCAGTCTGGTCGGCTTCTTTGAATACAGTGCTATTGCTAATACCCTCCTTCCATGTGCCATGACACGACATCTGGGCAGTGGAGTCCCTCTTCTTGCACATGTATCTTCATCCTCAGAGTGGAGCCTCACTGGTCAGAACCACAGGAGCCCCAAGGGGCTCTGATACAGACCTTCGTTTTCTCATTTCCCTGATCTGGCCACAACAGGTCTTGTTAAAGATTCAGAACGGCCTTATTACCTTTTTAAGATCTTTTTTCTCCTTCCAATTGTGTGTGTTAGGAAGAAGCAGGAAAAGGTGGAAATCCTTTAGGGTTGCTATGAACCTGAAGTGGCAGGCAGGGTCAGATGCTCAAATGACCTTTGTTTTGACCTACTATAGTTAAGCAGCCTTTTATTTGTCTGACTTTAACAAAATCAGATACAGATTCTATAGTGGAGAAATGTGTTTTCATAATTTATTCCCTCTCCACCGGGTTCTCTAAGCCCTTTAGGGGGTGGGGTATACTGGTGATTGATCTCAGGAGTACTCAGCCACTGAGCTACATTCCCAGCCCTATTTTACTTTTTTTTTTTTTTTTTTAATTTAGAGACAGGGTCTCACTGAGTTGCTTAGTGCCCCACTTTTGCTGAGTCTGGCTTTGAATTTGTGATCCTCCTGCCTCAGCCTCCCAAGCTGCTGGGATTACAGGTGCGCACCACCGCACCTGACTTCTGTGAGTCTTTTGAGCAACTGCTGAGAATCAGAACTGCATTGGGGTCCTGTGGACAAATTCCTGCCCTCAGACTAGTGTGAGACAGAAGCACTTACCTAAATGTTGCAGCACAGATGTGGAGAGTTCTGGATAAGGAAGAAAAAGCCCCCAGAACCTGGGAACAATTGGGTTTAAAAAACAAAAAAAGTATAAAGTAGAATCAAAACAGTGCTTTCTAAAACTTAAAATGGGACTTATGAATTTGAAAAGAGATGATGTTCATCTGAGCTTAGCAATCTGTGTCATAAACTGGCATTATTTTACATATTTTTCTCCGTTAAGAAGTGCAAGGAAGAAAATTTAAATGAATGGTTCCACCCACAAACAACCATCATTAGGTGTTTTCCCCAGATTTTTCTCTATATTGATTTTGTTTATAGAAAAGAGATCAATACATAAAATCTTGTTTCCAGAGCATTTGAGATTTTACCTAAAAAGCTTTCTCTTATTTTGTTACAAATCTTTATACACATTATGAGCTGCATGATGCTCCATTTTGCAGGTAAATCACACTTCATTTAGCCCTTTTCTGTTACTGGACAATAGACACACTCTAATAGTAACACATGTTCTTGGAATTACCTGTAAAATATAATCATTACAAGTTTCTAATTCCTAAATTGCTCATTTAGCACAACTAAAGCCATGGCTAAAAACTTAACGACTTCACTCCACAACACCGACAACACCGGCACCTAAAAGTCAAGTCCCTACTTGTCAGGCCATGGTAGAATGTCCCTTAGGGAAGGGGCTCTCCCCCTTCACTGTCTTTTCTCTGTTATAGGTAATAACAGGAGAGAAAACATGGAGGATACAGAACCAGGTTTCATTGCCTAGGCTTTGATTTTAGTGACCTTGGTCATTAGCATATGTAACTTTTCAATTCTTTTGAATTTCCTCAAAGATCCATGTAGTATTTCAGGTGCCTGCAAAGTGTGGGTGTTCTGTGAAGTTTATCTGTCATGTTTGAATAATTTTATATGCTTTCTTTTTTTAAGCAAGTCTCCAATTTGGTATATGATTTTTAAAAATTGTTTTTAAGAGTTAATTTGTTACCCTTCCAAAGTCCAGCATATGATCCAGTTAGTTCATTGTCTAAATAAAGAAGCAAGCAGTTCTTCCTTTTTTATTCATTCATAACCTTAATGTGAAATGCATAGTTTTGAAGCATATTTATTTTCACATAAATTGCCTAGCTGTATTATAAAGGAGAATGGTTTTTTCCAGGCCTGAGAGAGCAGTTGTAAACGCCAAAAATAATTAGACCTTCTTCAGCTTAGAAGAAAAAGTTGTTCTGGGAGACAAGATAGCTCTGACCTATAAGATGAAATCATTCATGATATCAGTGCACCCCCCCAAAAAAAATATCTATAGCAAAATTAAGTGCAAGTGATGTGTGAATTCTTTTTTTAAAAAAATATTTATTTATTTTAAATTTTCGGCGGACACAACATTTTCGTTTGTATGTGGTGCTGAGGATTGAACCCGGGCCGCACGCATGCCAGGCAAGCGCGCTACCGCTTGAGCCACATCCCCAGCCCGATGTGTGAATTCTTAGGAAAGAAACCCCTTTAACGTAAATTGTGTCAACACAGAGACAAAATAACTAATTAAAAGGTGAAAAACTCAAAGTAGCCAGTTCTACTTGATACATAACAACCATTTAAACAGAAAGCTTTAACTGAATGACCCAGGATTTCAACTGTGTGGTAACTAATCACAAGTGTACATGCTTAATATTCTGGTACACTTCCTGGTCCACTTGCCCTCTGCTTTATATAAAACCAATATAAGAAACTTTGAATTTATTTGAAAGAGATTTTTTGCCATGTAGGTATCTGTTTTACAGAAATATTTGCCTCCGGATTTCTTTCTTGCTTTGAATCTTTGGCACTTGATCCAAAGGCCAGATATTGGCATGAAAGAAAGCATATTTATTTCATCCACCAGATCCTGGGATTAAAACTGCCATGTGAGGGGCTGGTGTTGTGGCTCAGTGGTAGAGTGCTTGCCTGGCATGTGTAAGACACTGGGTTTAATCCTCAGCACACATTAAAAAATAAATAAATAAAGGTATTGTGTCCATCTACAACTAAGTGTGTGTATATATACACACATACATATATATATTTTTTAAAAGTTGCCATGTGACAGTTGGACACCTTTCCCTGGCACACACTTCATCCACCTGTTGGAGCTAACAGGTCCTGTAGAGGACAGTTAGTCCCACCCTTAGCTTTGCAGGTGAGGAAACTGAAGAGTGAGGGTGAATGATTGCCCAGATCCAGGGAACCCTTCAATGGCTGGTGGGGCACAGAACCCGGTTTCCTTACTACCCTGTCCAAGGTCCTGGTCGTACCAACCTGAAAAACTAAGCCTTGGAGATAGGAGGGACACTCTAGGATGTCAGTATTCCACCAAGATCAGCTGAAGATGATGCACACATCCCTGTGACAGAAAACTGGTTTTAGGTGAGGCTTGTGGAATCTGTCTACTAGACAGTTAATCTCATATGTGTGTCTTTTTTTTTTTTTTTTTTTTTTTTTTTTTGAAGCTAAAAGTAAGGGTCAGAGAAATTGTTTCCATTGTATTTTTTAGTTAGCCTTTTCCACTCCAATCAGTAATCCCTTTCATGAAACCAGTTCCTTTGTTTTATCAAGTGGTCTGATAAACTACTGTGGATAAACCAGGGCTTTTGTTTTTCTGCAACATATGCTTAAAAATTTGTCTTCTGCCTCCCAGAATGAAATATTTCTCAAGGTAATAGAAAAGATTAATTAGTGACCTTTCACTCTATTAAACTATGATGAATATGTCTCTAATAAAGGTAGAAACATTTACTCACAACTGTGGATCTGTTAAATATGCACCATGAACCTTCAGAAGCACTTCCTTCCAAGCCTGGGTGACAGCTTGGAATTTTCAGTACTTGAGGAGGGAGAGGGAATATTCAATTCACAGATATGTGCAGTGGATTCACAAATTGGAAATACAGCTTGGGAGGCTGCTGTATCAAAACTGTAACCACAATATCATATTTTATAAATTAAAATTGTTTTGTGTTAACTTACTGTGACTACTGTTCAGACTTTGTTCAGAAATCCTTTTTATAGGCTTTCTTAGCAAAAAAAAAAAAAATCCTATCTGTGGATAATGTCTCAATCTTCTGTATATATGTTTTATTAATATGTAAATATTCTGATTTTTTAAAATTACTATGTTCTTTAAGAAAGAATTCAATGCAAGGCTAGTTGTGAAAATGGTGTATAACATTGTGTTGTGATATCAGCTCCCAAGATGCTCTTTATGTCTGTTCTGGAAGAATACAATAAATTACTTTAATTGAATGTACTTGTGTCTTGCTATGTGCCAGTCTTTCTGTGTTTGTGAAGTCAATGTTATTCATTAATTAAATGATATTCATTAAGACTCTACTGATCTTCCACCGAAATTATATCTCCTTATGAAGTTAATTTAAAAAAAAATAAAACAAATTAGATTGCTACCGAAATGAGAGTCTTCAGACGCTGCAGTCAAGATTCTGTCTGGCCGTCAGATCAATGGCTATAGCAAGTCCCACAGAAACACTTGGACATTAAGTACTGAGGTGCTTGAAGCCTAATTTTAAATGAATTAGGTAGCTTTATAATCTTCACTTAAAAGGTTAAGCCCTGCTTCTATGGAAACAACACATCAGAAGGACAAATCAATCTTCTCCAATGCAAAGTGGCTGCGAAAATGTAATTGCTTTATTCTTCCTCTTTGAACACAGGAGGGCGCTACCTGCCTCTTGGCTCCACTGGGGCTTTAGGAGGGTCTGTTTATGGGCCCCTGGTCTAGTCAGCAGCTGTGAGGAACAGTAGGCAGGCAGCAGTGGGGAGTAGCAGCTAGCCTGGTGGAGAGGGGACAGCAAGACAAATTGCTTGCAAAAAAGAAAATATATAGTATAACCATCCTGAATCTTTCATGCATCCTCACCAGCCTTCCCCTTCTGCCATGTGCTGCCAGCTTTAGGGGGCCTCTTGTGTCTGTGAAATTGCTTATGAGGGGTCCACATCATGTTTTATGGCCCAAGTGCCCTCAGATGAAATGCCCTTGCTGCCATATGCTGGCAAGGTTCGGTGCTATGGATGTGGCCTGGTGGAAGAGCCCTAATGGCCTTTCTAATCCAATAGGGGTGAGAAGACCCAGTTTTGCCACAAAAGGCTCCACTGGAAGGAAGTTCAATACTACCTCAGTTGTCCTCCTCCAGGCCTGGCCTTATCAAGGGTTTACAGGAGGCAACAAGCTCCTTTACCAGCTGTTTAACTCCACAATCCACTGCATACCAACCATCCTAAACCCGGGATGTTTAGGATGACTTGGTTGGGATGCAAGGAAAAGAGGGGCCAAAGCTGAGGCTGGGGAAGCACCTGGCACCAAACCACCTCAGGTCTTGTTCCATCCCAAGAGGTTCGGACCCATGGGCACCCCTGAAGCATTTGAAGTAAAGAGGCCTTTCCAGCTTGTATCTTATATTGATCTGTCTGGCTGAAGTGTGGAACATCCAGCTGTCAGAATGGCTGGGGATAGGTGAAGAGAACACAGGACAAAACCCTGTGAGACGAGAATCGGCAAGACTCGGGAACTACCTTGGGCTAGAGAAGAGAGAAGTGTCAAGGGGACACCCAGGTTTCTGGCAGGGTAGTCGGGAGGGGTCTCATTGCACTCACTAAGGTAAGAAAACGGGAGGAGCCATTTGGAGTACGACAGGTGAGCTCAGCTGTAAATGTCACTGCATTCATGTATTCCAGGAGTATTCACAACACGCCTGGTTCTCAGGGGCTGGGAGCATAGCAGTGAGCAAAAAATGTGCCTGCTCTTTTGGAACTCACTCGGAACATGTGTCACAGACAGCAGACAGATGGCAGGACCCTGAGGGAAACACCAGCACACAAGTCCTATTTGTGTTCCTGAACAGCTTTACCGGGGAGGAGGGAATTTAAACTTAGAAGCTTTGTTCCAAACTAGAAGCAATTAAGACGTGATACACCACTCATTCCTCATGACTCAGCTCTCAACTAATCTTCACCATCAAAGAGAGGTTTCTGACTACATGCTCACAAGTAGCCACAGGCTCCATCAAATTATACCGTTTTTTCTTCCTTTAGGTCACTTACCACTCTGGAATTATTTTGCATATTTATGCATTTGATTGTAATCCATTTTCCACAGGAATCTGAGCCTTATGATGTCAGGGATTTTATCTAGGACATTCAGATTTCAGGACCTAAAATGCCAGACATTTTAGGACACTTGCCTGGCAAAAGTGGACTCGCTAAAAATTCTACCTGAAATTTGTAATTAATATGCAGACTATTCCTCCTGACCAAAGCCAATTATGGTCTCCCAGTATTAGAAGTCAATTACAGAAAGTAACTCACCTTCTCTCAGTCCAATGCTGAGCCTTCATCAGAAAGTTGAGAAGAATGGAGCCAATGAGAATGTGAAGTAAAGGAAAGACTGGGACAGTCAGACCAGTGAAGGGACCATGGGGCACATCAGGAGCCTGATACAAACCCCTCCTTCCAGATCCGATAGTTTATATCACATGGACCTCCTTTTCCCCTATATCACCCACCCATTGTTATTATAAATAGTGGATGAATTTGGGACATTAGATGGGTCAAAGAGATGCTGGCTGTGTTCCTTGAAGATTTCATAGCTCCAAGGATTCAGGCCAACCTTTAGAATGTACACAGACCAACTCCTTTTGTATTTTATAATTTTGAATGCATGAAATTGATATCCCCCCAAATAACATATACACATATATATTATATACCTATGTGAGTATATAGTTGTGTTTTTTTCCCACTTTGTTATCAGTGAAATTAAAAGAATGTTAAAGGAACTGTAATTTAAAAAAAAAAAAAGCCAAAGAATAATCTAAAAATGGAGCTCAGAGAGACTCTGGTATGCTTTATGGATACTGATAATCCAAATAAAGTTTCTATGTAAAGGCCTTTTTAATTGTTTGGGGTTTTTTTGGTTTGTTTGTTTTTGTTTTTGTTTTTGCCATTTTGACCTGTTCCCTGAGAAACTGAAGGACATTTTAAACCTAAACTTTGAAACAAATCCACTTTTGATCATTCCTTTTAAATACTTTCCAAAAATTGCAGCTGATGCCAGTGTGTTAAATGTAGAAGCTGGTCAGGAACCAGGTCTCTTTACTTCAGTTGTGTGCACCCTCCAGCTTGAGGCTGTGACAGATCCAAAAGGTGGAGGGCCCTTGATGTGAATGTGGAGTGAAAATCAATTTTATAAGGGAAATGGAGCATCCTAAATTGTTTCAATGAAATGGTGGACCGATTGCATATTGTTAGAAAGTAGTAGAAAAACTACTTTTTTCTATTTCCTAGCAATGGAGGGTGAAAGAATGCATTTTAATAGAGAGCTCTTACTCTGTATGTTACAAAATTAAATGTCCTCCAAACGTGATATGTTTCTAACCACTGGACAGGGACAATCAGGAGCGACTCAATTAAAAACACCATGCTCACCCCATCCCCCTTTGGTGGTGAACATTATAATGTTACATCATCCTTATGAGAAATATTTCACCTTGTGAAGCAATACCAGCTTTTTCTACTCCTGCCCCGCACCAGTGCTTCCTGAACATGGAGCAGTAGCTCAGACGGCTTTGGCTCTCATTAAGATTTTTGTGTTTGTTTTCATGATCTATGTCATGTACTGCTCAAGTGTGTTTTCCTGCCTGTCCCATTAATGTCAGTGTTCCCAGGAAACTAACCACAGCTGGTCATTCCTATGTATGCCCCAGTGGGATTGGCTTACTAGTCATGAAGTGTGAACATATTTTAAATGTGACCAGAAACCTATATTAACCATGATCATGTCATTATGGTTGTCCCTTATGATAGCATTATAGCTTTAGAAAATGAACAAACTTAAAAACTGTAAGGGGGATGGGAAGGAAGAGGTGGTACAGTTAAAGACTGAACATAGGAGAAAAGCCAAAATATGCTTTTAAAAAGTGTGAGCATAACTTACTACCCCCAATTAAACATATAAAACTATAGAAACAGAATCTCTGCTTACCATACAAGAATAGACAGGCATAAGGGAAAACCTAATCTATATAAACATATAGTAAAGGGGTATAATAATTAGCATAACTTATGTTAAGCTGCTATAACAAAGGAGCCCAAAAATAAAGTGGCTTGAATGAAACACACTTTGTTTACTCCAACTCCAGAGCTGGATGGTGGGTGATAGTCAATTTTTCCATGAGGCCACCCAGAAACCAGTTCAATATGTATGGTTGTTCTACCACCCACTAGCAGATAGCTGTGTGCACATAGTCAAAGCTGGCTTCCAAAAGTTTGTATTGAAGCCTATGGGAAAAGGAAGAGGTTAGTGGAGGACTTAACAGATTTCACTTCTACTTACATCCCATTAGCCAAAAGTTGGCCAAATAACTATATATAGAACAAAGGAGGCTAGGAAACAGTCTCTAACTGGGTGACTGTGTGCCTAGCTAAAACTTTGGTTTGATTTCTACAAGGAGGGAAAGAATAGATACTGGGAACAACTAACTTTTCATACCACAGATGCCATTTTAATTGGTGGGAAGAGGATGAATTATTTAATAGTGTTGAGGATAACTGCTACTCATTTGTAAAAGTACATATACAAAATAAACATATATACATAAATGTTCATTTTGTATCTACAAAAATGAACCCAAAATGGACCATAGAAGAACTAAAACTATAAATTTTTTAGGAGAAAATACAGAAGTAAATCTTCATGCTCTTGGGTCAAGTAGCAGTTTCTTAGCTATTACATCAAAAATGCAAGTGACAAAGGAAGATAGATAAAATGGAAATAATAGGAATGAAAAATTCTTGTGCCTCAAAGCATCCCAAGAATGTGAAAGACAACTCACTGGGTAGAGGAACATATTTGTAAATCATAATCTGACAAAGATCTTGCATGCAGAATATATAAAGAACTTTTACAACTCAAAAATAAAAAGAGAAATAACCTAACTTAAAAATAAGTTAAAAAAAAAAAAAGGACATACTTTTTTCAAAAAAAGATATTCAAATGGGCACTAGGTCAATAAGCACATGAAATGATAATCAACATCATTAGTCATCAGAAAAATGCAAATCAAAAATACAATGAGATACCACCTCTCGAACACGAAGATGGCTTATCATCAAAAAACAGACAGTACAGCTTTGAAAACACTGTGGTAAAAATGGAACCCTCCTCATACACTGCTGGTGAGAATGTAAGAGGGTACAGTCTTCTTGGACATCAGTTTGGCAGTTTCTCAAAA